TTACCTGGACACATGGCCAGCCAAACAGAAAGGCTACATTTCCCAGCCTCCCTCACAGCTAGATACAGTCATGAGACCAAGTTAGGGTTAGGGTTAGGGTTTGCTGGTGAGCCTTCACCAACCATGTTGTCAAGGGGACCCTTGGGGATAGCAGAGCAATAAAACAGAAGGATCCAGGGTCCCGGACAGCCTTGTGGGTTAGAACCGTGCTGGCCAGGACTCCCCACACATCAACCGTTAGGTGAGTGAGAGAGACTCTCGTGTTCACAGCATCTTTACTTAAGATGTGTTAACTGCAACAACATTTCAGGGCTGATAGAGGTAAGGGGGCGCGCTCCCCGACTTGCCCCTCACCTCATCAGTGTAGTCAGGGATAAGTGCTTACTGAGAATCCCAAGTGAGAGGAGACTGGCCGTCTGTTGTCCCAAGAGCCCAGGACTAAATTCTCCAAGACAGGCTAAAACACTGCTTCAGATGCTGCCACTGGTGTCCCCTGGGGATGCATCCAGCCTACACTTAGTATCTTTGAGCAACACAACGTTTTATAACAAAATCGTACCTTAAGTCAATGTTAGGAGATTTCTCATGCAAATCTGGATGGATAACTGCTCTTGAAAAATCCAAGTACCTGGCACACGGGCCCCAAATCTCTGCCTGACACTGATTATCTGGCCCCTGTGACCGGGGCATGCACTCTCAGCTCACCCTACTCACCACCGCTCACTGACATGCGCGTGCTTTTCCCTCTGGCTTCCACTGGCAGGGGAGTGTTTGACCCCTGCCCTCTTCGCTCACCTATCAGGGATCCTACCTCCCTGCCCCCGTGGGAGAAGAGGCGCTTCTTACACGGCCTCTTCTGGCTGCTGGAGTTGGGCCAGCTGGCCTCCTCCAGCTCAGGGCTCTGTTTTTACCAAGGCCTGATAGGGGGTGACCAGGAAGCAAACAAACCTTGCCTCTCTGCTCAATGATGTCAACCTTGAGAGGAACACTCTGCCTGTGAGTTTATTGGACTCCTTTAGGGTCACATGTGCCAAAGCCCAAAAACTTCCAAGAGTATGACTGGTCCAAGGCATCATTGTGCCCCTTCCCCTCACCTTCATTGAAGACTCTGTGTTCCATGGGTATCCCAATCCAAAGCTGGGATCAAAGGGGCACGTGCGTGTCCACCAAGGGTGTAGAAAGCACAGGGAGTAGTGACTCTGGCTACAGCCATGATGATGGGACTGCCTGGGATGAACCATCCTGTACTGGGAAGAATCAGGCGGTCCTGGGCTTCCATCCCAGTCCCCCCTTTGCTAGCTGTGTGCCCTGAAGCATGTGACTTGACCTTTCAGCTCCGAAGGGGCTGCTCCAGGAGGGTCAGCCAGAGGAGACAAGACCAGGGTCCCTTGAGGCAGAGGGGATGGCCACTCGCCACTGAGCCCATTGTGCCCAGTCTGGAAGGACTATAGCTGGACAAACAACTGATGATTGGAATGACCAGGTAAAAAAGGTAGTGATAGTCTACTTGGGTGTGAGAAGTGATTTCTTAGTACCTCTACAATACGTATCAACTATAATAATAATTAGAACAAATATATGCATAATCATATATAATAACAGTTATATATAATTGAGTGCCAAGCAGTATTCAAAGAGACTGGGCTCCAGGGTGTGAGCAGACCTGGGTTCAAATCCTGCCCCTCCATTTTACTGCTTGTCTCTTGAAAATCAAAGCTAAGACCCAAAGGAGATCATGAAGTGGTTAAAGATGGGGCTCCGGAGCCAGATCACATGTAAGTCACAACTCCATGGCTCACAAGTGTATAACTTAACCTCTTTGTGCCACAGTTTTCTCGTCTATAAAGTGGGGGTGATAATAGTTGCTATTAGATATGGTTACGAGGAGGGTTAAATGTCTACATCCAAGTGCCTGGTACAAATTCTAGCTGGAACCTGATACAGCTCATGGGAAATGAGTTCTATGTAGAACTGTGCCCAGCACCTAGTAAGCTGGGTATCAGTTAAATATGTCTCTTTCAAAGGGTTGTTTTGGGGTTTTAAAGAAACAGCATCAGAAAATGGTACATTGTTTGTGCTTAATGAATGCCCATTCTCTCTCCTTGGGATGAATACACATTTTTAAAATCAGAATCCTCCACGTTTTGGTCATTTGTCATTATAGTGCGTTCCCTGCAGCCTTGTACTCCCCCCCACTTTGACTCAGTCCCATGCTGGATACCCCAAACACTGCCCCCCCACCCAGTGCTGGCTCAGGCCCAGGTTGCCCTGGCTGTGGGCGGCACATGGTATGCTTTCCAAAGCACTTTCTTCTTCATGTGCCATGGGTGCTGAGAACAACAGAGGGCAGCGAAGAGAGGGGTGGGGTGAGGATGGGAGGTACTTTGACCCCTGTGTGACCTTGGCCAGGCTCCTGCACTTCTCTGGGCCTTTTTGCTCATCTCTAAAGGGGAATACTATCCCTGCCCTTTGGCCTCACAAAGCTGCTGTGAGCATGGAATGAATTCGTGCATGCGCAGAGGGGGTGTCATTATGGGATATTATAATCAGGCAGCCAAAGGATCACAACCTGATCACAACCCCAAACCTAAAGGGCCTGGGAAGGCCAGAGCCAGGCTCCCTGGTGAGGAAATACTTCCCAGGAGGCTGTTTTGCTCTGAGTAGTGTGTCCCCGAGACCAGAGCCTTCTGTGTAATCATTCACCAATCTGGCCCTGGCTGAGAGAAGGAGGCTGAATGCTGTGGGGCGGCCAAATTTGGACATGGGTTAAGAGCTTGGCCAGTGCAGGAGGTGGAATGTGTCCAGGGCTGGGGAAGGGAGGGACTGCATTCCCCGTGACTGCCTGGCAGTGACAGCCACGACTGACTGGGAGTGGGGGCTCCAGCCAGCCCCCTCTGGGGAGCACTCACGGGCAGCACAGACGACCTACTTCCTTTCTCCCTGGGGAAGCAGGAGCCCACCCAGAGAAGCCAGGCAGCAGGCAAAGGGCAAGAGTGCAGACTGACATCAGGGAGATGGGGGCAGGGGCTGTCAGGGACTCGGAGGGAGGAGGAAGGATGGGGAATGGGGAAGACTGCCCCACACCAGCCACACTCCTGTGGGCAAAGCACTTCAGGGGTTAGAAAGTGCTTCCCCATACATTATTCATTCTTTCCTTTCTCCTGCTAGGGCTCAGAGCCTGGCCTGGGTAGAGGGACTTCATAGCATGAAGCAAATATGTGGGTATTGCGGGAAGGGCTTGTGATCAGGGAAGGAAAATCTGGTTCAGACTGAATGGGCACCAGAGGAGACAAGAGCCCTGAGAACACAGGCAGGGTTACACAGTGCCCCACCCTCCTTGAGGTTCTTTTATGCACTGGACAGGTCCAGAGGGTGCCATTCACAAAGCCCGCTCAGCCCTTGGGCTAGGGCAGTTCGCTGGGGAAGGGGTGCTTGGGCAAGAGGCAAATATTCAAAGCACAGGATTTTCCCCTCCCTCCCAGGTGACACGACCCTCCTTCCCCTCAGCCAGGGAGATATTCACAGTGGGAATGGTGCTCCCCGGAGTTGAGACGAGGAGCCCACGGCCCTCCGTGAGGCTGCTGGCCTGGCCTGCCCAATGCTGAGGATGCAGTGGAAGTATGGAGGCCCCCCATTGGTGCCTTTGTCTTCCCCCTGGAAACACCTGGATAAAGTTCATTTCCGGAGGCAACTATGGGAAACTGGTCGAGAACAGGTCAAAGCAGAATGTTCGCAGGAAAGCCCAGCTGGCGTGTCACCTCCCACTCCCCCCTCTGTCCCTCCTCTTGGCTCAGGCTGTTTCCCAGGCCACAGGCCCCTGAGAAACCCCAAATTTCACATCCAGGAGTGTGTGTGCCTATGTCCCTGGTAGGACACATCTGTATGTGCTGTTGTGGACACACGCCTTGGTTCTCTGAACCTCTACCCCTTGGAACACCGGGGATGGCCCATGCACTCCTGGGTGGATATGTGTCTGGGAGTACATGTGCACATGGGCGGCTGGGAACAGGAAGATCCAAGAGCTCGAAAACACAGCTCTGCTGAATGGCCAGGGACCAGTCGTTGCTACGATTTCTGGGGGCCTGGCATGAAGGCAGGTCTTTGAAGAGAAGGAAAGCGACAAGTCATGGAGACAAAGAGCAAACCCACCGGGCTGGTGGGGGGTGGACTCTCATACTCTGGTCCTTCTCCCCCAGTATGGCGCCAAGCCCAAAGACCCAGCTGGGTAGACCACAGCTCTGACTTGGCCCTGGGGGGGTTCCAGGTAAATAGACGGGTGCTGGCCCTCACCTCCTGGAGGAAAAGTCCACTCATGACCATAGGAAAACTGTACTGTGGGAGGTTCCAATCCGAAAGGGGAGCAGGCTCCTTTGCTCAAGGCTGATGAAGATAGCACTTCCCAGATACCACTCCCCTACAAGTTCCGCTCTGGTGGGAGGGGAGGGGAGAGGGGGACAGGTCCTAGAGGTTGGTGTTGGTGTCAGCTGTGGGGACTGCTCGATTTCTCCCACCCTATGCCCAAAGCAGGAGTAGGATCCGGGTGCCTCTGCCCCCAGTGGCCGGGGCCTGCCAACCCAGCGTGTGATAGAGAGCTGGGGCCTAGGAGAGCCTCCGGGCCCAGGCCAGGGAAGAGAGCTGGGCTATAAATAGGCCTGAGACCCAGCCCTCCGGGATCCCTGCAGTACAGCGCGGAGAGACCTCTCTTAAGAGATCCGGAAGAGTGAGAGGAGAGATGCTGGCCCTGTCCTACCCGCCCATAGCTCCAACCTGGACTCAGCTTCCAGGCCCCAGAGAAGTGCAGTTCAGCCACCTCTCTCGTTGCCTGTTTCCCTCTGGGTCGTCCCTTCCCGAGCATGTGGGTCTCTGCGACACCCAAAGTCAGTCTGGCCCGGGGCGTGGAGTCTCTTCTCGCCCATCCCGGAGCTCTCTGGGGGGAGGTCCAGGAGTCCCCTCTCCGACCCGCACCCTCCCCGCCCTGCGGAGATGCCGGCCCCTCCTACCTGCAAACACCGCAGAGCAGTAGGCATCGCTGATGTCGGTGTCCGGGGTGTGGACGTTCTCGGCATAGAGGATGAAGACCCTCAGCATGACTGGCACGAGTTAGGGCCCCGTGCGTCCAGGGCGCGCGGAGAGAGCCGGGGAAGGTCGGCGAGGAGCGGGTCTCCTCACTGGAGAAGGCTGGACGAGGGAAGCCTGTTGGGATCGCTGGCTCGTGGCTCAGATCTTCTGCTGTTGAAGAGAAACAGGCCAGCCCCGGGCTGCTCCAGTGGGCTACGCTCGGTCCCCGCCCCAGCCGCGTTTACCCCGCGTGTCAGCAGGCGCTCCGGACACAGGGGCTTCTGCTCATCTTCCACCCCCGCCGCCCTACCCGGGCTCGGCTGAGCTGTAATTCAATGCTCCGGACGCAGACTCTCCCAATGACAAGGCGTTTTGCACCTGGCCGGGGAACAGCCGACCGGGCGGCGGCCGCGATGGCGGGGGGCTGGCCCAGGGCTCCGGACGCCCAGCGCGGTCCAGATCTCGCTCCCGACAGGAGAAAGGCTCAGTCCCTCCCCCGACCTTCCACCCACCCCCGGCCGCGCGCCTCGCCAAGCCGGTCGCCTCCTCCGGCCGCGAGGATTCGAGCACTCTCGGTCGGACGCAGGAGTCAGCCGGCTGCTCTGAGGACCAGGTGGGGGGTGGGCGCACGGACCGCGCTTTCCCGAGAAGCCTGGAGCTGAGGAATCTCAGTGACCGGCCTCGTCTGGCTGCCTTAAAAACTCTGTCCCCCTTCTTTTCTGCTGTAAAAGCAGCACCTGTTACTTTTAACACAAAAGCATAAAGGAAAGAAATCTCAAGTCTGAAAAAAACAGTATTAACATTTGGATATTTACCAATCCAGGCTTTTTCCTCTGTGTGTGTGTGTGTGTGTGTGTAAATTACACTATTTATCACATTTCTGAGATCAATGTATATGCAGTTCTGTGTCCTGCGTTTTTATGTAATATTTTCTTGCATCATTATAAATTTTTCATAGACAATTTTTCAATAACTACATCATTTTGTATCATATGAATGTACTAGACTTACCAAGCTTTTTCCCGTTGTTAAACATCACTATTATAATAGTGAGACATACTTTTTTATATAAAAACTGGGATATAAGCCCATCTTGGGCCCCTTCTGCTAGTTCCTTAGGTTGGATTCTCAACCTTGGAATGGTAAAGTTGCAGGACATGCCTTTTTTTAGGTCCTAGTACCGATTGCTAAATTGCTTTCTGGGAACTGTGTAGATCCACACTCCCAGAAGTTGGGTGACTCACCTTCTAAAGAGGGCAACTTGGATGGGTGTGCAGTCATCAGCAAACCATCCCCTCCCCCAGCAACCCATGGAGGTAGAACACACACCCCCGGCCAGAACAGGAAGCTGTTTTGTCCATAGCCCCAACTAGGTGGGAACAAGACTCCCAGTCGTCCATTTAACAGGCATGTATCAAGTCCTACAACATGCCAATACTGTCCTGGGTGATGGGGACACAATGATGAGCAGAAGTGGCTTGGTTCCTGTTATGGGCTGAATTGTGTCCCATCCCCCCAAATCCATATGTTGAAAACCCATATGTTAATCCATATGCCCTAGCCCCCCAGTTAGGAATGTGACTGTATTTGGAGTTAGGGGCTTTACAGAGGTGATTAAGTTAAAACAAGACTGTGGGTGGGTTCTAATCCAATCTGACAAGAGGAAATCTGGATGCAGAGACACCAGGGATGTATGCACACAGAGGAAAGACCACACGAGCACCCGGTGAGAAGGTGGCCCTCTGAAAGCCAGGGAGAAAGGCCTCAGAAGAAACCAAATTTGCCAATCAATAACTTGATCTTGGATTTCTAGCCTCCAGAACTGTGAGAAAATAAATTTCTATTAAGACATCCAGTCTGGGACACTTGGGACACTTGGGTGGCTCAGTAGGTTAAGCGTCTGCCTTCTGCTCAGGTCATGATCCCGGGGTCCTGGGATCGAGCCCCACATCAGGCTCCCTGGGAGCCTGCTTCTCCCCCTGCCGGCCGGTTAGTCCCTGATTTCAGAGTTTCTTTCCATCGTAGTGGAGGAAACTGACACTTACGAAATAATCAAGCCAATCATATACCATTACAAATCTGTCAGTGCAAAAAAGGACAGAAAATGGGGCTCTCATGTAATCCTAGGGACAATGAGAGCTATCTGGGATGAGATCTGAAGGCCAATTAGGAGTTCACTGGACCAGACTGAGGTCGGGGAAGAGGAAAGGGGTGTTCTAGAGAGCAGTAAGGGATGCTCTTGGTCAAGGCCCTGGGGAGCGGGCGAAGGGGTGGGGAGAAAGATTACTGTGACTGGAGAGCAGACTGGGGATGGGGGGTGGGGAGGCATGGAGAAGGTGAGGCTAAGAGAACCACACAGGGCCTGAGGAAGTCCAGAGGAATGATAGGATCTGATTTACTTTTCAAAAGCCCCCTCTGATTGTTTTTTTGGAGAATGAAGTGCAAGGGGCCAGACTGAAGGCAAAGAGATCAGTTAGAAGCTTCAGCAGAGGGTCAAGGTGAGAGATGATGGTGACTTGGCCCAAGGTGGAGAAAGTGGGGTTGGAAAGGATTAAAGCGAACCTGGGAGGAAGTAGGAGGAGGCAAAGCAAGTGCTAACCTTGGCCATTATATGTTGCTGGAGAAAAAAAAAAAAAACCTTGGCTTGGATGAAGTAATTGACTCATTCATTCATTCCTTTAACCAACATTTATTTATAGGGTGCCTTGCATGCGGCAGGAGTTTGCCAGATTCAGGTTTTAGAGAAGGGTACCAAGTAGGGAATAAAATTTAATTTCAGTGGGAAGAAGGGCAAGAGGCCCCGTTGATATAGGGAAAGCCCAAGTTAGGATCTATTTCTAAAGAAGTACAGTTTAGCTCTATTCAGATGCATAAAGTAACATGAAGCTGCTCTAAGGCAGAGCTAAAATTGGCTCTCAGAAGCACCTAGCTGCTTGCAAATATGGTGTGACTAAAGTGATTTGACCAGAACCAGTTTTCTTTATGGGTTAAACATCGCCCTTGCAACTTCTCTACATTATTTATTCATGCAGCAGATTCTCTTCAAACTCTTTACGTAAACTCTCCCCCCAATGTGGGGCTCAAACTCATGACCCTGAGATCAAGACTTGAATGCTCTACTGACTGAGCCAGCCAGGCGCCCCTCTCTTCAAACTTGTCATGTACAGGCCAGTCTGTACAGAAAGAAATTCCTAGTAAGAATGCACCTCAGGAGTGCCTGGGTGGCTCAGTCGGTTAAGCCGCTGCCTTCGGCTCAGGTCATGATCCCAGGGTCCTGGGATCGAGCCCCTCACTGGGCTCCCTGCTCAGCGGGAAGCCTGCTTCTCCCTCTGCCTCTCTGCCTACTTGTTCTCTCTCTCTCTGTCAAATAAATGAATAAAATCTTTAAAAAAAAAAAAGAATGCACCTCAACTTTATTTTTCAATGTGTAGGACATGTTTGGGATATGTTCTGTATTTCAAAGAGCCATATTCTTTGAGACCATCCCCTGGCAAAGGGAAAGACACCTGATTCAAAGCTGAACCTATCGGATGATCTCTTCCCAAGAATTTGTAATTGAGACTGAGAAATGCTAGCCTCTGTGTGCGGCTGGAACCAAGCTGAATAAAACTGGAGGCTCAGAAGAAGCCACATGCATGGAAAAGTGGAGAAAAATCTGCAGTCAGGAAAAAAAGACAGAGCTTGAACTTGGACTTCTGGCCCCTAGAACTATGAAAGAATAAATTTGCTGTTGAAATCACCACAGTTGTGACAACTTGTAAGAGCAGCCACAGGACCCGAATACGTGGAGCCTCTGACAAGGCAATCCAATCATTGTTGAAAAGGACAGGCATTCAGAGCACTTCCACTGCTTATTGTTTTGGGGCAAATAAAGGAAGGTCAACTCCCAACCTCCCTGAGAAACCAAGGAGCAAGTTTGATATTATTTCCCAGTAGAGAATGGAACGAAAAAAAGCAGCAGATTTTTAACCAAAGAGGTAATTTGGAAAATGTACATGATTTCTATATTCTCTGCCACTCAGATCTTTGCAAAGCTATCTGAGAACCACAGACCCTGGTCACACTCTGGTCATTTTATCTGAGACGGAAAACTCATGGTAGTTTTAGAGCGTTTCAATCTCCCATGAGAGGGACCTTCCCGAGAATCTCCCATAAAAAACATTTAGTAAACACTCAATAAATAGAAACTATTATTATCCATTCAGGCGTGGGTGCTGGTCTAGCCTGAAAGGAGTGTATTCAGAATGGATGGTAGGGTTGTCTGGTCTGAAATTCCCCCTGAAAGCTCTTCCCTCGGGCAGGGAGTGGAAAGCAGCTTGTCTGCTGAAGTCTACAGAACACAGCTCTGGGACTGTGAGTAGGTCCATCTGTGTGCACAGCCCTCCTTTTGAATTTACTGCAGAGGGTGAGGAGTCTCTAAACTGGATGAAAGAAAGCCTACACACACACACACACACACACACACACACACACACACACTGGGAGAGAGGGAGGGAGGGAAAGGGTTAGGGAGGGAGAGACAGAGAGAGCTTCTGAGGAAGCAGAGTGTGGGATGGAATAGGAATTAAACTTTTTCTAGAGTGAGGTTATCTCCTCTTGTGGAAGAGGCCACAATGTCCCAGGAGGCCGCAGCCTCAGCAAATGTGAAGAAACTTGTTCCAGGCCCCAGCAGGGGGAAGAGTCAGGTGCTGGTGATGGCTGGTTCCCTGCTAAGGTGCAGAATGAGGGCACAGGCAGAGCTGATGTAGATGAGGGGGAGCAAGTGCAGAGGGCCCATGCTGTGTGTCTCGGGGCAGAGATTAGCCATTTCTGAAGCTCCACGCCAAAGAATTCCTATTCATTCATGGAGAGATACCACCACAAGGCCTGAAGAACACTCCTAGGAGTTAAGAGGGCAACAAACTGGTTGCATTTTCAGTGTTTCTTCCTTGGCTAAAGGTTGGGACTTTGGGGAAAGAAAGGACACCAAGAGAAGTGAATACGTGACTTGTTGGTGTTTCAAGTGTGGTCAATCTGAAGGTCTCCCATATCAGAATCTTCTTGTAAAAAACGGAGACACCTGGGTCCCTCCGTACTCCTAGATCTATTGAGTCAAAAGCTCTGCAAATGGCCAAGGATTTGGGCTTTTAAAAGCTCTCCACTTATTCTTTTGCAGACCAAAGGCCCGGAACCACTGACCTGGGTAGGATCAAAGAAAAGGCTTTGGCTCTTTGGATCATAACCTAAAATGCCAGATGAATGCCCTCTCGAATCCAGATTTTCACAAGCACTGAGAAGACTATGTTTGGAGATTGGCTTTAACTGGAAAAAAGAGAGCATTGGGAAGAGGAGGGAGGTGAGGGAGATAATATTCAGCTAAAAACTGCAAAACCAGTAGGACAAGAAGAAAACAATGGCAGCAGTGTCGAAGGAGGACTCTGGAGTCAGACTACCTGGATTCAAATATTAGCTCTCCTTACT